GGAATTATGCTTTGGGCATGGATGCTCTTGTCACCGTATGCTCTTGGAACACGAACGGATATATGCTTTGGGCATGGATGCTCTGGTCACCGTATGCTCTTGGAACACGAACGGAAGTATGCTTTGGGCATGGATACTCTGGATGCCCTGCTCAACTGTGATTTGAATGCATAATCTGAATAACAAAACAATCCTGAACTACTGGCAGACGCACGATGTTACCGCATGCTGGTGCCGGCAGTATTACGCGAAGGTCGCAAGCTGCTCGAAACACTGCGAGCGTCAGCAAAAGTAGGCTCCCTCACGAATGCGACTTCCATACATTTGATAGAAACTCCTAAATGCTGTGGGCATCAGCATTTCGCACTTTAAAACCTTTGAAAATGCGCGAAGTTTCTCCACTCATCACCTAAACTCAGAACTGATGCCCTACCTGCGAGCATACGCTCTGGCTCTGGCCATTCAAAGCGGCACTGCTCCCGGCCCAGTCCCATCGAAATCTATTTCAACTTGAAGTAAGACCTAACTTAAATCAATTAAGATCTCTTTCGAATCTATTTACAAGCAGATGAAAAATTACTTGAAATCCAACTGAAATCCATTAATTAAAAAGCTTGAACGCCTGAATAAAACCACAATACCAACACCAAACCAGTTCCACTTGAAATCCAGTTAAAATGAATCAAGACCAATTAAAAGTAGTGAAAACCCACAAAAATTGAAGGTTGAATCCAGGTCAAAAATTTTCTTCTTCAGATTTAGAAAACATATTTTCCCAGTTGAACCCTCATTAGGATTGCCTAAAATATCATAAAATGGTACTAGTATTAAAGTCAACTGAAATGAAACTGAACTCATAAGCAATTAAATCAACACCTAATAAAATCTTTTAACAATGTACAGAAAATCAATCTAACAACAAAATGAAAAATGATAAACCAATTAATGAACGATTTAAGCAAAACAAAATGAACGATCAAATTTCTTCGAGACTTCATGAAATTATACCAAAAATACCCACCCGCCAACCTAACCACCCCCCACCCAATCTAACCACTGCCAGCACCCAACCTGGCCACTCAGCATCCAAACTAACCACTCAGAACTGCAAGCACCCAATCTAACCACTCTCAGCCTGAATTCTAACACCAGCCCCCTCACCGCCACCAAAAAAAAATCCACCCAAGTTATCCCGATAGAATCCGGGGGATAACCCCTCGATGTATGTCCAAACCCTATTCTAAAGCTCCTTTAGTTGCAATAGGCACCAGAGCTCAGGCTTCATCTTGCCAATGAGCAAGCAGCAGCATCCATGCTTCGCACCCTCACCTCCCTCAAACGTATCACAATTTCATATGCCATTCAAGGGGCACAAGTTGGGTTAAGAGGCCGAGTAGAAGAAAAGCCGTCTTGCTGGAAAACAGTGGACAATAACTTCAGATGACCAGATTTTTTGCCTCAAAGCCCTAAGTTCCAAAACATGCGCGTTAGTCCAAGCCTTGAGGTTGGGCTCAGCTTTGGAGCGCGCCGTGCGGTTGACGTTTGGGCCTTGGATGGGAGGACGTCATGTCAGAAAGTAATGGTAACAGTGGCAATGCAGACTGAAGCAACAAACAGCACCCAAAGCAATAGGTAGAGATGAGGGATGGGCCCCTAAGGACAATGATAACTCCCCCGCAAAAAAAACTTGCTTGCTTTGCGTTTTTGTTTTACGGAAAGGGGGGGTCGCAATAATGAACCAAGGGGTTGGGGTAGGACCAGGTAGTGCAGCTCGTAGTACTCGTAGGACAAGTAGAAGGGAATCTATTAAGATGGCAACGTTTTTGGCCGGACAATATTAGTATTGCCACCCCCTTATCATTGCCGATGGACCTTGTTTAGACCTTTTCCGGCTCCGAACTTAGTAGAAAGCAACTGTAGTCTTCCAGATTTTTCCGGCTCGGCAACAATATACGTATTATTGCCACCCCGTGTATTAATGGCAGGTTAACATTAGTGGTGGTACGCGCCAACCACATTGTTAAATCCCTCATGCATAGATTGCAGAGGGATGGAAGGTCACATGTGTCCAGCGTCAGCAACTGTTGGCAGGTCATCCAAGTGAGTAGTCAACTTTGAATTTGTGACGAGCTATTGATGAGAGTTTGAAGCGCAGAGTAGGATGAGGCACTCCCTGTTGGAAGGGGTCAAGATTGGATACTGCCGTTCCGTTGCCAAGCAAATTCGGCTCGAGCGCTCTGCTGTCAAAGAAACGAGGTGCTCCTGCCACAGGCGGCCACCATGATAGGGCCGCGGAATGTGAGCTTCGACAGGATGAGTGGCGTCTTGAAAGGGCGCAGAACGTCCGTGTTGACAAACAAGGAGCACCTTCGAGAGACCTTGGAAGTCTTGAAGACTTTTCGCTACCAGGGCCAGGAGAAGAAGCCGTGGTTGGACGAAGACGGAAAGCTCATCTGGTCTACAACAAGGCATGCAAGGTTCCATAGGGTTCCAGGACCCGAAAAGTATGTTCTGGAACGAGTCTACGAGATCGTTTCTAACATAGCTATTACATACCACCTATGCTTTGGCGACGCCGCCCTTCTGCATTTCACGTCCAAATCTGCAGTTTCAGGGTCGGAGTGTCTGCTGTAAGCGGGTCAGCGCAAGGCCCGACCAATTGATAGTTCAGATGACATTCTTTCAGAGACCACACCGGGTTTGAGGTCTACACTCCCCAGCAGATGCCAGAGACGGTTCATGCGGCCTTAGTTTGAGCAGGGCATGCTAGCTGCAGCTAGCTGCGAGGGATTGTCCTTTGTTTGCTCAGCACTCACTGTTCCGAAGCTTCCAACACAAAGGGCAGTTATCTTGAGAAGGATTAGCGCAGATTTGACGAGTCTATAGAGGAGCTCCAAGATTGACCTCGCAGTTTTTGTTGCCAACATCACATGCATCCTTGCTCCGCAGGCTTCGCGTGGCCAACGTAGTGCTAAGCCAAAGCTTCGAGATGCTCATGGGATGCATCATCCTCGTCAATGTCGTTGCCATCATCATTGAGGCAGACACAGATGCTAAATGTTATCCCGAGTACTTTCAGAACTACCAGTCATGCCCCACAAGAAGTGGAACAATTGCGTGGCTCATGGCTTTGAACATCACCTTACTTATCATCTACTTGTTCGAGTGCGTCGCACGAATCTACGTGGAACGGGCCAGCTTCTTCTGCAACAAGTGGAACATGATAGACTTCACTACCGTCTTCCTTGGATGGCTTAGCATCGTGCTGGCAGCTACCACGGCATCGGTGGTTAATCTAGGTCTATTCCGGCTGTTGCGCCTTGTTCGAGTATTCAGGGCTATCCGCATCTTGATAGCCATCCCAGAGTTCTATATGCTGGTGACTGGCCTCTACTCCGCGATCAAGGCCATCTTCTTCGGGTCGGCGATGCTGGTGCTGGTCATCATATTTTGGGCTATTGCAGCTGTGGAAATGTTTCATCCAATTCTAGCAAACTTCTCACCCAGCGTTTGTGAATCATGCCGAACAGCCTTCAGCAACGTCTTTGACGCGTCATGCACTCTCTTCCAGCAGAGCCTGAGCAGCACAATGACGGCTTTACAAGATGTTGCCTCCATGAAGCCTAATTAAGCCTTGGCCCCTGTGACTGCATAAAGCACTTGCGTATCGAATAAGCTTGAGTTACGTTTGAGGTAGTCAGTTTTACAGTAGCCAGGGCATGGTTGAGATCAAGGATCGTTGCTGGAGACGCCTGGGGAGAAGTTTCCCAGCCGCTTTTGGAAGCTTGGCACAAGCTGGACCCATCTGCGCTTGTTGATTGTCTGACTGACTGTGAGGTGGAGTCTGGCACACCTTTGCGCGCATTTTGTTCGGACAGAGCTCTGTCAAAGTACTTGCGCAATCTAAACCAGATAGCTACCTTTAGCCGCACACTTTCAGAGGAGTGACTTGAATCAGCTGAGGAGGCACGTTCTTGGACTGCAATCCCTCTCTTCCTCATCGTTGTGACCATCTCCTTGGGTGTCCTCAATTTGATTTTGGCCGAATCCCAGCATAACTTAAGTAGATGTTCATTCCGCAGGCGTTGTTAAAGCAAGGGGTCTAACTCTTCTTGAACATCTCTGTTTTTGCGCCACGTCGGACATAGAAGAGGTTTCAAACAAATTGCCGAACCTTTTGGGATCAATCCCGCTCAGAGAGAGGTCATAGTCGAAAGTGCAGCTGAAGCGAGGGAGAATGATGTCGAGCAAAAGGTGAAGCAAAAGGATGCCGAACGAGGCAGAAACATGGTAGAGCTGGCAGTTCTCTGCGCAGATCTTGACACAGACGGGAGCGGCACGGTCTCCCCACAGGAGATGCTTCATGGCTACGACAACATGCCAGACTTTAAGCGGCTCATGGACCAAATGGATATCAAGCGGGACGAAATGGAGCTTATCTTTAATGTGCTGGATTCGGACTGCAGTGGAAACGTCTCCTACCTTGAGTTTTGTAAAAACCTTGGGAGTTTCTTTAAGCGTGATCCCGTCATCATGAACTCTCTGGTCCAGTGCTCCATTCTGGACTTGAAGAAACTGGTAAAAGAACAAGTTGCTGCTTGGCCCAAGCTACTCACGAGGATGAGGAGGGAACATGTTGGGCCTGTCAGACAGGCTAATGTAGTAGATGCTTCCTGTGGCTGGAGCTTAGCCTTCGTCTTTGAAGTTGTCAAGGCTGCCGTCATGAAGCAGCAGCACGACGAGACGATGCGTGAACTTCGAAGGATGTTCACAACCTTGAGCCCTCTCCGAGGCAGTTCAAGTTAGGAGTTCGTTGAATTTTGCCGGCTAGCTTGCTACATTGCCAAGGATTCTTTTGCCTGGTGCAAGTCGGGAATGTGGGTTTTGTGAGAAAAGGCTCAGCCATGTGGATGGCATTCTTTTAAATAGACACTGCAAGATGTCCAGGCCAGCATGCGGGTGGTTGCTGTAGATTGGACTATGAGGCCCCCGCCTAGCTTTCCATGAGTTGCTTTTCTCCCTGGCTGTGAACAGCAACAGGCCTTTCTACTCCAGCACCTGCGCAAGTTCACAACATGGAGATTATGGTTCCGGAGCCCAGGACCGGAGTTGTTCCCCAGAGGTTGCACCCCCGGGTTTGAGGATCCTTTTCGACGAACTCAGTGAAGATGTGTCAATGGGGGAATTTCGAGGGAAAGTCACTGAGGGATTTCCTGTTCAGCATCGCTGACACTAGCTATTTCCAGGAGACCAGAAACTTTGCAGACAATCGAGCGTATTGACGATGAGCTCCAGCCACTTCTGGCAAAGGTCGAGCCTTGACTGAAGTATCTTTGCAGGTGTCGTGAGCGTGGATATGTTTGCGTTGATTTCCGTCAGACCTGCGGAGGATCAGCTAGTAGTTTCCCAGCCGTAATGAGCGTCGGTTCCTTCCAGAAACGATCACCAAAACGAGCCTGATCACCACAGAGTCTTCACTTCCTGAGTGCTGAACGTTGCAGCCTCTAAATGTGTCACCTATGTCTGTGGTGAAGGAACTGCCGGTAGTGTACACATTTCCTGCAAGAAAGCCACCCCCAGCGTGGAGTGGAGCCTGATACAAGGCTCAGCATTGTCCCGCACAAGAAAAAATAACTGTGTGAAATGATTGCCGCGGGGTGTGACAGGGAGTTTTGGAGAACTAGGTTGGCACAACCTGCCACAAGCATAGAACGTGCGAAGCTTGCATTCTTTGCAATGTACATGTGCAGGAAACTCTGGCAGCAGAGCTTGAAGATGCGAACCCATGGAACTCATGGAACGGAAGCGACGTGGGCTCCAGCGAACCTTGTCACGAACTATATGTTTGAGCAGCCTGCGTCGATGAGAGGTCTGACTGGCTGTGTAGCATCCAGATTGAAAAAAAGTAAGGAAGTAGAGAAGAGCAAGCTGGACGCAGCTGTCGCCTACGAGCTTGTTGGAGATGGCGGGGTGGGCGACCTGGCCCAGACGCCCGCCAGCCTGACAGATTTGGACGCGCGTTATGCGACATTGTGCAATAGGCTTCAAAGTCGAGTGGATGAGGCAGAATTATTCCGAAGCAGGCTTTGTTACGCAATCCAATACTTGAGCGCACAAGTGAGATCTGACAAAGTCGGTCCTGTGCAACCAGTGCTCTTGACACAAGTATAGTCGGCAAAGCGTTGGCAGTACCATAGCCTGTTACAGAAGTATCGTGGCTGCCTTGCCACGAGATGCTGCTACGCGGCTGATTCTTACTAGATTTGCGCATGCAACGGTGCCCGGTTTGGCCTGACACTCCTGCCAAGCAGGACCTCGCAACGCATGCAGGATCAGTTTTCTCGCAGAACTGCGCATGGATGATCCGCAGTGTCATCACAGCGCTTGGACGAGGAACTGCTGCGCAGCTGTACCGGTGTTGATTAATCATGTCGTGACTGGCGCAGAAGCAAGAAAGAAACTCCTGGCGGCCCCAGATGTCGCAGATGAACTTCTGACTGCAGCATCAGCTTGCTCTCTTGTTCGTTGGTGTAGGGCCCACTAAGGTCATGAATACTCTGTTCGTCACCTTCGCTTATGTCAAAAATTCTGTCCCACCCACCCTCCCTTGATACATTAACCTGTTGATAGGGGGGAGGGGTCTCGTGTGGACGCTTCGTTGCACGACTGCTTTGTTGCAATCTTGGGGCGTCTTCGTACCCCCCTTGGGTGCATGCGACTTGGTCCATCACTCGTGACATGTTCTAGTGTAGAACTACCTGACATGTCTTCTACCCATCGTCCATGACGTGTGCTGTACCCTTGTGATGTAGCAGCTGTATTCACTTGTTTAATGAGAATTCAAATATTGCCGTGCCATGTTCTTGCTGGCAGCGTCAGGCCTGAGCACGTGCGCAAGAACCACCGGACCCTCGAAGACACGGTGCAGAAGGGACCAGCATCCCGGTTTTATGCAGCACTGAGTAGCAGGATTCTGCAAAAGGCATGAAGCTATGTGATTTTCCAGTGCTTTGAATTCACAGAGTGTCGTTTCGCTAGACTCGCAAGCCACGCTTTCCGTACAGTTCCACAGTTTGCGAGCATCCGGTTGCATGACCTAGAGCTGCTGGCAGTTGGGTTTAAACGTTTTCCACCCAAACTCGGCCAGCAAATTCCACGCGCTTGGGCAGGGCCTTGCTGCTTTCCGTAGTAGAAGCCTTTTCAAGATCTGTTCAACTACAGTAGACGGTCCCTGTTGATCTTGAAAAAGGCCAATGAGACAGCAGCAGCTGTAAAGATCTACAAATGGTCTGTGAACTTGTGTCCAGCGACCGGCGCCAGACTGAGATGACCAAAAAGCAGGATGAGTTGCGTCTCTTCATTCCACTCGCTCAGATCTAGGTTCTTACGGCTGGTTGTAGGCGAAGGCTGAAATCACGCTTGGACCTGAAGGTGTACTTGTTCATGACTTTGAGCTTCATAGGTGGTGTACCTCAGCTTTTTCACCAGGACTGGCAAAGATGTTACTTCGCCGTTTTGGCTTGAGACGTGCGCTCTGGGAGCAGCCGCAAGACTTGCTGGCATTGCATCCTGCGCCCTTTCAACATGGCGGCAGCTGGAGATCGCATAAAGATGGAGTGTGATAAGTGCGGGTACAAGAGTGTGCCGCAATGGTGCCAATCTCAGTTCAGACCGGCCACTCCTTGGAAAGCTGATGCTTAGTGTAGGAACATAATAAGCTCAGGCTCAATGACAAAGCCCACTGCTTGAAATGTCAAGCAGTGCTGCGCACCAGAGGCCGCCGCGCTTGGCTGTCTTTTCTTAGCATATTCTTATTGGGCTTAGAACGGAATAAGTATATAGAATATGGACATAGAGATATATAAAATGTAGAGAGTATATAGGGATTATATTCCCTTACTTCCTGCTAACCACCAGAAAGTCTTGCGCCAATCGCAATTTGATTGGAAGTCACATGATGTGAGGCTCCTGCCACGAGGCCAAGCGGGAGGTGTTTGGAGCCGAGGCTAACGGCGAGAACAGGCGAGAGCCAGGCCGAAGTTCTGAAGATTTCCTTCATGGTACTAGTGCAGCTTTCCATGATTTTAAAAGTACTACTACTAGTACCATATTATACTTTTACATTGCGGTCGGGAACAGTG